GGGGGGAGTGTCAACCCAACCTGTTGAGTTTGAGCAGTGCTAAAAGCTCTCCGACTGTATACAACACAATAAAATATTTTTGTAGAATCTACTTTGTCAAACATCCGTTCAATGCCTTGTCTGTGTGCAGTAAATCGAAATCCACGTGAGATCTTCATGGTAATCACGTGAGGCTTTTCATACTGAATAGCAACGAGAAAAGAAAATAAGAATCAACAAAAATAAAAGCCTTAGAGCCTGTGTCTCGAAGCTCACAGTGAATAGTGGTGAAGCGGACAAAGGGGGCTCAGCATTCAAAGACGTAGCGTGTATTTACTTACCTACTTTCAATAAACCTAAAGGTGCTCGGTGCTTTTTATAGAACACTGTGGGTAGTCGGCTTAAGAAATAGACTATAACAAGCACAAAACGTTCTTACACAAACACAAAACACAAAACGTTCTTACCACGTGGAGGAATGTGGTATATATATGTGAAGTGGGGAATCAACGTTTTACCAAGGTGGTATCAACGTTATCGCCAAATGTTAAACATCTTTTCTGTTCCCAGCAAAAACACCATCTTCATACCACGTTACTGAATGTGGCTGCAACATTACTTTCAATGTGATTCTCACGAATTATGTTAATGTGATTTCCACGTGGGAACAGCGTTATATGAATATGAATCAACGTTCATTAGTATCAAGTTGGGACCTGGTATGCACGTTGAAGCTCGACGTTATATAACGTTGCTGCAACGTTACTTTGAATGTGAATCTCACGAATGATGTAAATGTGATTTCCACGTGGAAACCACGTTATTTTAATGTGATTGAACGTTCATCAGTAATAGGAAGGGATGTGGCATACACGTTGCATCCCCACATTAAGTATAACGTGACTGCACCGCTGCTTTAAGTGTGATTCGCACGATTTATGTGAATGTGATTACCACGTGGGAACCACGTTATGCAAAGGTAGAAAAATGTTACTCTGAACGTGATTTCTACTTAAATCTGTAACAGCTAGGTTTGAAAGTAGAATATACACGTTACAGTCCCACGTTACAGATGACGTAGATGCAACGTTAATTTGAATGTGATTTCTGCATAAATCTGTATGGGGTTTGAACGTGGAATACAAGTTGCAGACACGTTTTACAGACAACATGGCAACAACGTTACTTTGAACGGGATTCCCACGTAAATCTGTAACGTGGCAGCAACATTACTTAGAACGTTATTATTTTGTAAATCTGTGAGAGGTTTCAAATTGGAATATACGTTGCAGCAATACGTTACATATTGCATGACAGCCACGTTAATTTTAACTTGATTCTAACGTAAAGCTGTGACGTGCCAGCAACGTTATTTTAAACGTGGTTTCTACTTACATGTGTAAATTTTTCAATGTGGAATACACGTTTCTTCACCACGTTCCATATAGCGTTGCACCAACGTTACTTTGAACGTGATTCTCACGTAAATTTGTAACATGTCAGCAGTGTTACTTTGAATGTGATCCCCACGTAAATCTGTAAGAGGGATGAACGTGAAAATAAGGTTGTAGTACCACGTTTAAGTATAACGTTGCTGTAACGTTACTTTGAATGTGAATCTCACGAATTATGTGAATGTGATTTCCACAGGGGGACCACGTTATTTTAATGTGATTCAACGTTCATCAGTAATAGGTAGGAATGCAGTATACACGTTGCATCCCCAGGTTTAGTATAACGTGTGTTACCAATGAATAATATGAATGTGATATCCACTTTTCCAAAGAAATCCAGGAGGCCAATACGATTATCACGCGTTATAAACTCATGAAAAAAGTACACAGCACGTCAGTCATCCCGTCACGTCGCGTAATTGCGGAGCCCATAAAACACTATATTTTTCAAAAAAAAAAAAGAGTTTATCTATACTCATGGCGTGATCAAACGTGGCGCCGAATCGTGCCTTTCGCTGACTCTGTTATGGCCTCCAATTTTTGAAGTTTGAAAGTTTTAGATGCTACCAAAATGTACACTGAATGTTAGAAACAAATACATGTAATTTATTTAAATTTTGTTCTGTATTTGCTGTAATATCTCCTAATATTTTTTTAAAGAACAAAAACTTTTGGTGCGTGCCTTCCCTTTGGACAAATGTAACTAAAATATTAGCGTGCTCCGCATCTTGTGTTCAAGACTGTGTTAGATCCCATTCCCATAGATTTTAGATCGATCTATCCCTGTGGGGAGTCTCACTAGATTTCTGTCAGCTAAGCATGCTTAGGCGTCTGTCCCGCCTACTAAAAGCTGCAAGGGGGTAATTAACTATGGTGCGCGCTTGGCTGACTGCAATTTAGCGCGACACCCCAGGGAGTTAGGTCGATCTAAATCTAAATCTCTGGATCGATCTAAATCTCTGGGTATGCACCCTTATATTCGTGGATGATGGTGTTGGGGGTGGGGGTTCCTCAATACTCCATCCTTTGATAGCGCGTAATTTAACATGCCCGTCGAACCTCCCTTTGGTGTGATTCGCTTCTAACCTCGGTTGTGGACGTTCCATGTTGAGACGTTTTAACATGGCCCATACACTGCCCCTAAAGAATAACTTTGCTAAGTTAGTTGGCTGTCCAAAATAAACTGTTAGCTTACGATATTAAGAGCGGCGGAAGTATATCTGACACTATTCAAATGGCGGATTCATGGGGCACAATAAACCCCATATCACTTCCCTTCTCCCCTCGAGGGTTTTCTCTTTCCCATTTCACAGAGGAAACTGCTGTGAATTTGCCATCCTGTCCTATTATGTTATTGTTAATTTCCTTAACACCTAACCAAAATCTTTTATATGCCAGTGTTCCGGTTACTTTCGATGTGTTCTGTGAGGCAGAGGGATGTGTTAGTTGAGGTCAAATCAGTCGTGTTGAAAGGGGGCGTTAAGTGAGGCACGAGATTAAATTACATTCCTATAAAATTCCAGAATTTAAATAAAAGTCAGGTGTTCGACGAAAGAAAAGGTACCATATCATATATGAGGTGGAACTCAGCGCGTCCATTCAGTCTGCGCGTTCATCACAATTGAAAGCACATCGTGAAAAGAAAACCCGCTGGTGATTTATAGAGAAAACGAAAATAGGGAAGGCTCCGAGTTTCAAACGGAAAAAAACGAGCCCCACCCTAGTTTATTTTGAATTTTGTGTGCAATTCTAACACCAGTGAAATATCCAACCACCAAGCGACTAACCGTAGAAATGACCGACGTTCATGTGTATGAACCAGCTCACGAGGTCTCTTCAAGTACGATCACGAGACCACAGTCTGACACGTATGACGATGTGCACGCTGGTGGGAATATCAACTATGAGGCACTGCAGCCAACGAATGAAGAGGCGGGAAAGAGAATTAAATACCGCCAACTGGCTCTCTACGGTGTTCTGTCTCTTTCTGTTTTACTCAATGTTATCTTGGTTGTGGCAATCATCGTGATTACTTCTGAATACTGCGCATGTCACTGTAGAAATCAAGGTGAGTCTGCTCTAATAAATCCCTCCCTAACAGTCTTAGGGCTCATTCCCAATGAATGAACTATATATTGATCCAACTCCGCAGGGACTCTAGCTGAAAGCAAACAGATAAACAGATTAACACGCCCCCACCTGCAGTTGAATAGAATTCAGGAAAGCTGTTGATTACGCGAGTACGCTAGGTAGAAAAAGAGGAGTGCCAATATGTTGATCTAATATCATTCATCGAGATTCCCTGCGGAGTTGGGTCAATCTACGTAGGACGATAGTTTCATAAGGAATGGGCCCTATAGCTTTGTATATTTCTATACCAGTAGAAGATTTATAGGCCTCTCATTGAGCAGTTATCATGTGTATAGTTTATAGTATGCTTGTGTTTAACTGTTATTTACTATTTGTATTCTAATAAGCAACTTAACTGAACAATATCTTTTGCTCGCACTGAAATCACAGGAACTTCATAAATTCACACAAAAAAAACATAGCTTCGCTAAACTGTTGATCTGTTTTAGGAGAAAATGATACCTTCAATGGGATACGCAGTGAAATGACCCAATACAGCGGGATTTCAACTGAAACGCCTGTTCCTACAGCTAATTTAATGGCGAAATCAGAAGCAATTACATCAGAAGTGACTACATTTGAAATGACTACGACGTCAGAGTTGACTACGATGTCAGAACCAAGTAGTACTACTTCAGAAGTTACAACAGCCTTAGATCCGACTATGTCGTCAGAACCAACTAATACGTCAGAACTGGCACCTTCGTCAGAAATGACTACCACGTCAGAGGAAGTTACGTCGCCAGAATGGGCAACTTTAAAAGAACCGACTACATCTTCTGAACTGACTACGACGTCAGAAATGACTACCACATCAGAAGTGACCACCACATCAGAACTGACTACTTCCTCAGAAATGACTACCACGTCAGAACTGACTACTTCATCAGAAATGACTACCACGTCAGAACTGCCTACTTCATCAAAAATGACAACCACGTCAGAAATGACAACTTCGTCAGAAATGACAACCACGTCAGAACTGACTACTTCATCAGAAATTACTACCACGTCAGAACTGACTACTTCCTCAGAAATGACTACCACGTCAGAAATGACAACTTCGTCAGAAATGACAACCACGTCAGAAATGACAACTTCGTCAGAAATGACAACCACGTCAGAAATGACAACTTCGTCAGAAATGACAACCACGTCAGAACTGACTACTTCGTCAGAAATGACTACCACGTCAGAACTGACTACTTCATCAAAAATGACTACCACGTCAGAACTGACTACTTCATCAAAAATGACAACCACTTAAGAACTGACTACTTCTTCAGAAATGAATACCACGTGAGAACTGACGACTTCGTCAGAAGTGACTACCATGTCAGAACAAATTACATCGACAGAATTGCTAACTTCAACAGAACTGACTTCATTTTCAGAACCTACTACGACGTCAGAACCAGCTACTGCGTCAGAGTCAAGCGCCTCATACGAACAGACCCC